ACCTGTATAATTTGATCTTTAGCAGTGTCGCCTTGCAAGGTTCTTTCAAATAGCTAGGATATACAAAAAACAAAGTGACTAATGGTGACTGTTTACGGGAAAACATACTTACATGCTTATCTGTTAAATGGCTAAAAACTAATGGACTGTCAACAAACAGTTAACAGCCTTCAAAGCGCTCTAACGCTTTGTGTGAAGTAAACATTCTAACGGCTAACAAGTTTTGCCTAACGGCTCATTACATCATCCTAATGTTTTGCCCTGGCTAATGATCTAATGGCCAGCTAAGTTGTTTTCATACCTTGTTTATAATGTTTCGGTTCATAATCATTTTGATCCGATTTATAACAGAAACTGTTATCGGTTTGCCCTGAATTTGACACTGGGTTTGCAATCAATGTAACGTTTACAACAAGATAGAAATGTCGAACTAAAGAATGAAAATTACATGTGTGGATGTCCCGGAGTCCCAGATACCAAGAGGTCATGGGTTTGACTCCTGTCGGGGACTCAGATTTTTCTTTGTCCCACGCTCATGTTATGTTGATCAGTTCACTTTTCACATTTCATTACCGAGCTTAAAATTCACCATCTTTGTTCACTTATCACACTCACAATGACTTCGGCAGTTCTGATCCTAGCAGTATGCAGGATGCCTGTNTAACGGCTCATTACATCATCCTAATGTTTTGCCCTGGCTAACGATCTAATGGGTAGCTAAGTTGTTTTCATACCTTGTTTATAATGTTTCGGTTGATAATAATTTTGATCCGATTTATAACAGAAACTGTTATCAGTTTGCTCTGAATTTGACACTGGGTTCGCGATCAATGTAACGTTTACAACAAGATAGTAACGTCAAACTAAAGAATGAAAATTGCATGTGTAGATGTCCCGGAGTCCCAGATACCAAGAGGTCATGGGTTCGACTCCTGTCGGGGACTCAGATTTTTCTTTGTCCCACACTCATGTCATGTTGATCAGTTCACTTTTCACATTTCATTACCGAGCTTAAAATTCACCATCTTTGTTCACTTATCACACTCACAATGACTTCGGCAGTTCTGATCCTAGCAGTATGCAGGATGCCTGTCACAAATAAACTCAGTTAAATGACCT